TGAGCTCATTTTGTGCCTTTGCCTTTCTAATCTTGCTCATGCATTCCTGTGTTGTTTGCCTATATTCATCCTTTTTAATTTGTCCTAGTTTCCATTTTTTATATGACTCCTTTTTATTTTTTAGATCATGCAAGATCTCGTGGTTAAGCCAGGTGGTCTTTTGCCACATTTTCTATCTTTTGGGCCCTTAATAGTGTCCCTTTGAAAAACTGCCAACTCTCCTCAGTTGTTTTTCCCCTCAGTCTTGATTCCCATGGGACCTTACCTATCAGCTCTCTGAGCTTACCAAAATCCACCTTCCTGAAATCCATTGTCTCTATTTTGCTGTACTCCCTTCTACCTTTCCTTAGAATTGTGAACTCTATGATTTCATGATCACTTTCACCCACTTCCACTTTCCTTCCACTTTCAAATTCTCAACGAGTTCCTCACTATTTGTTAAAATCAAATCTAGAACAGCTTCCCCCCAGTAGCTTTTTCAACCTTCTGAAATAAAAAGTTGTCTGCAATGCAGTCCAAGAACTTATTGGATAGTCTGTGCCCCACTGTGTTATTTTCCCAACATATATCTGGATAGTTGAAGTCTCTCATCACCACCAAATCTTGGGCTTTGGATGATTTTGTTAGTTGTTTAAAAAAAGCCTCATCCACCTCTTCCACCTGATTAGGTGGCCTGTAGTAGACTCCTAGTATGACATCACCCTTGTTTTTACCCCTTTTAGCCTAACCCAGAGATTCTCAACACTTCTGTCTCCTATGTCCATCTCCAGAGATGTCCACCTCAGAGAAATGTGGCTTATGCAAGAGCATGTTTTCACCAGAGAATTCAAGAGAATTCAAGGACTGGGGGAAATGTTGAATCTTTTATAAAAGCTCTGCATACATTGACTGAAAACTCTCTGATTTTTGGGAATGCAAAATATGAAAACATTGGAGACAGGCTGGTTATTGGGTTAACAGACGATTAGCTTTCACAGCAGCTTCCATTAAAAAGAGACGTAAACCTACACACAGCTATTTAAAAAGCAGAACAGTCTGAACTGGTGAAACAACAAAACCTAAAGGAACGTGACAGTTTCAGGTTTTTCAAGTTTATCTTGGAAACTGTAATCAGAGACTTGAGTGTTTAAAAATCACTATCATGAAACCCCTGAGGCAAGGAGAATGAACTCTCAGGCTGAGGGACAAATTCCAGCCTTAGTCACTCTTTTCACAACTTTTCCCAAGAGATAATGCATATCTAGCCAGAGAACAGTGTAATAAATGCTTGAAATATGGACTCTTTGCAGCTGTTTACCACACCAAAGCCATCAGGGAGTTGACGCATATTACAGAAAATCAACAGCCATTGTTTCTGGGATCTATCACTTCCGATGACATAGAGCCTGCCTAGAGAATGACATTGCATATTCATTGCAAGACTATTTAATTTAAAATTGATTCAGGAGCTGACCTCAAAGTCATCTCAGAAGGAATTTGTTATCCCTGTCAGCCCCTCCCAGAGCTGAAGTCACCTGACACAGTTCTGACTAGCCCTGGCGGTATTAACTACCTGGGCCAGTTCACACGGAACCAACTTACAGCAGTGGTGGGCAACCTGCAGCCCGTCAGGGTAATCCACTGGTGGGCCGCGAGACAGTTTGTTTACATTGTGTGTCCGCAGGCACCGCTGCCTGCAGCTCCCTTTCCTGGCCAATGTAAACAAACTGTCTCGTGGCCCACCAGCGGATTACCCTGATGAGCTGCATGCTGAGGTTGCTGACCCCTGATCTAAATGGTAGGAATGTAAATTTAAAGGGGGAGATGTAATAGAATGCTAAATTGTTTTACACTGTTCTGCCAGTAGGTGGCAATGTGTATAAATACCCTATTTAAGCTAACTTCAGCCATACCTGGCAGAGCTTTAAAGGGTCTTCTGACGAACACAGCTGGTATATATAAGAAAGGTCTCTAGCCAGCCCATATCTGGTACAGAAGTACATGACAAGTCCCTTGAAAATCCCAGCCTGAGGGGTTTACCACTTGCTTTAATGAAGGGGGGCAGGAGTGGACTGTAGAACTGGGGGTCAGGCCCTGAGCTGGTAGAAAATGTCAAGGCATCGCTTCATTTGACTTCAGTGGAGCTACATCGGTTTACAACAAATAAGGATCTGGCCTTGAAGATTTAAGGGCACATCAGTTTTTATTTTGGTCTGTGTTGTTAACTAAAATGCTTCAAAAATGTGTCAACCAATTCTATTCTCCCAGTACATGGATGTTAACAAAGTGATTGATATGGACTTAGCAGCTCACGTCTTTCTTTTTTCCCCTTACATTCTTTAATAATGCCACATAAAATACAGGAAAAAATACAGCACACAATGCAGCAGCTTCCTGTTACAAAACTGTAAATGCTGGATGGAAGTGAACCAGCTGTATAACTGGGTGCATTCTTGGCAGCTTAGTATTATAGGCTGGGATCAGTCTTTCACCTGGAAGAGAAGCTGATTTAAATGTAAATCTCACTGGGAAGCTGTTAAATGTAGAAATATTTGGGGTGCAGGTGATAGTATAATGGAGTCCATGAGATGTCTTTCAGATACATCAAGCAAAAGCTAAGCAGCAGTTTGGATTTAGGTGGTCCAACTATCTTTCCATTTGCCTATTGTAAAAAACTCCCTCCAGCATGGAGAATGTATTACTAAGTGAAAGTTTATTGCTATGGAAACATTTGACAGAACTGAACTCCTTTAAAAAACAGTGGACATTAAAGAAGGTATATTTGGAGGATAAAGCTCTTTTTGTTATCATGCAACAGCTTTTGAGGATATACACCCAGCTAAAGCATGAATTGTGGTGGCCAATATCTTCCTCCTACAGATTAACTTAAATAACCACAAAACTGCTCACATGACAGATCATGGATGAGAAAACAAAATATTATCTTATAACAAATTGTGGCTTGATCCAAAGCCCACTGAAGGCAGTGGAAAGACCCTAATTGATTTCAACAAGCTCTGGATCAGGACTGTAGCAAGCATACAGTGCACTTTCCAGGGGATTTGAATTATAGCAACAGATCCAATTATTTTTGTTAAAGAACGTGATCTAGATACTTTTTTTTCTTAGATGAAGAATTTATAGTAGGAACATTCCCCATTCATCCATCATTGTTAATGTGCTATCGAAATGAAATCAAGTATCCCACAAAATCTGTAGAAAAAACATTTGGCGACTAATTGTTTGGCCATAAATGAAACCAGACGCTGTGTGGCATGAAAATATTTAGTGTTTTAGTGCTTCTAAGGTGGTAAAACTTTGTGGAAATAGTTGAAAAGACAAAGAGCGAGAGAGAAATGAAAATGATGGCAGAAAAGATGATGTGAATGAAAAGTGGGAAAAGAAGAGATAACAATAAGAGTGAAGAAAATTAAAGGGGTGACAGGAAATAGAATATGATGGAGAGACACCTTTCCCTGGCTGGGTTTCAGAGTCTAGGCTCCAGCCCAACTAGGAACATATATATGCTGCTATTTTTAGTCCTGTAGCATGAGCCTGAATGAGCTAACCCAGGCTCTGAGACTCACTCATGACAAGTCACTGAGTGTCTTCCGAGTTTGACATTTGAAGGAGACTTTTTAAATTTTGCCTCTCAACCTTCTCTCTGCCTTCCTAGTTGGAACAACTGCATAACACAGGATTTAACAAAATATTTTAAAGAAAATGTAGGGTGAGATCTTCAAAGAGATCTCAGCATTGACCTAAATCTCCTCTCACTAAAGTCAATGGTAAAACTACCATGTGACTTTAACGGGCACCGAGTTATGGCAATTCTGAGCCCTTTGGAAAATCCCAGCTGGTGAGTGCAAAACAGATCATTGTAATTTATACCACAGTTTGGTCCAAATCCTGAAAGAGTATTTGGGTCTGCCCCCATCTAAGGCAAAAATGGTGCACTGATAGGTGAGGCAGTGGAGAGTCTGAATGTGGGGTGGAGGGAACTGGGTGTATTTAGAATCTGACCAGTGGGAGCTCACCCAGCACGAATCCACAAGGGTCAAACCCTGACTTGGACTAGACTAGCAAGACAGATGCATGGGTTTGAAGACCATGAGGGCTGAATAGTCCAGCCCTCATCCCGACTGTCTTTGTACTTTAAAGCAACTTCCTTTGGCCAGCAGCCTTTCGATAAAGCTTTCTCCATACGCAGGGCATCATGATGATCTATTTAGAGCTCTTTGAAATATATAGATCTGGCTTCATACTTGGGGAAATATTTGAAGCAACACTTGTGACTGAGCACATGAAAGACATTCATGTGGGAGTTTGTCCAGCTAGCTGACCATACACAATACTGCATTTATAGTTCAGGGTCTTGTAAATTGTCACATCTAAGAACTGTCCTTGGGCAAACAATACATTCTAACAAGCCTGACGTGTAATTAGGGCATCCTATAAATATATACTAAATGGGGTCTTGGTTTCCCCATGTGTAGAGTGGAGATAGTAACATTTGCCTGTCTCACATGCTGAGGAGAAATTGATGGGTTCATAGCACTTTGAAGCTCTGACGCTTTTATGTAAATATTAGGTGGTATTGCGTCACATTGGTCAATCCTGGTAAATTGCCAGGGTTTGAGCTGGCATGGAAAAGCCAAGTACAATAGTACTGAGTGTCTTCAGATGGGTGATCTGCAGAAGTATAACTTTGTTTATAATGCTTGGAGGATGGGTCTATTAAGACAAGAGCTCTCTATCCCCTGCTGTCTCACATAAGAAGGCACTGCATCCTTTGATGCTCTTATACTTTTCCTAATCAAAAGAACTTGAAATTTTGAGTCCCCAAAATATTCCTGAATAGTACAAACAGTCACAATTCTGGGCTATTTATTTAGTGTGAGTGTAGTGAGGCCGTGTGGCTCCCCGCCACCCCGAAAGGGGAAGAGCCCATCTGGAGGCCGGAGTGGGCGGAGCTAGGGAGCTCAGAGGGGGTCAGGAGGCGACCCGGAAGTATAAAGGCTCGCCCTCAGAGCTCAGTAAAGGCCCATCCGCCGGAGAGACCAGACATCTCCAGCCTAGCTTGTGGCTGGGAAAACTCTGCGACCCCAGGCGGCCGCTAGGAGCTGCCGGGCCTGCCCTGCGCCCGCTATCCGGAGGAGCTGCCGGGCCTGCCAATCAATCCCTGCCCTGACGAACCCATGGTCCTAGATCCCCCAAAGGCCGACACCAGGACCCAGGTAGGCCCCGAGAGGGAGTCTGGAAGTAGCCCTGGGGCAGCCGACCCTAGTCTGGCTGCAGCACTGCCAGAACCTATGTCAGTGTGTTGCGGCCAGGATCCCCACTGACACAGCAGCGGGTCTTCTGCTGCTGCTAGGGCCCCGGGCTGGGATGCAATGGAGTGGGAGGGCCTGCGTCCCCCTGCCACCCAACTCCCGGGTGGCAGTCTCCCCCTCTCCCAGGCCTTTGGAGGCTTGGAGCCCACTATTTGTTGCTCAGTCCTGACTGAGGGCCAAAGCCCTGACTTAGCATTGTTGCCCCTCCCTGAGCCAGGGCCGGGCTTACCGTATTTCTTCTGGTTACAGCAAGAGCTGCCAAGGGAGACCCCATGGCCGGACGAATCCCCCCAAGCTCAATGGGGTGTAGTGAGCCGGTGTGGCTCCCCGCCGCCCCGGAGAGGGTCGAGCCCCGGCAAACTCTTGTACAGTGAGTAATAAGGGGTGGTCTGAGAGAGAGACTGCCTGCCTGTCTGCTGGACAATAGAGAGTAAAGAAAACAAATTCAGAGGCAATGTAAATGGATGTAAGAAAGTATCAGATAAATGACCGGGCATTCATCTTAGAGCAGTTTTATTTTGATTTGTGCTCAAATTCCAAGGCACACATAGCGCTACTATTCTTTACGTTTCTAAAGCAGCTTACGTAGTCTTGACTATTTCTATACAATTTTCTCAAGCCTGACCCCAAGAGATGGACTTTTACAAGACTGACCCTCTTCCTGACTAGTGGGATCTAAAAGAATGAATCTGCCCTAGCACATGGGAAAATTTTCTAGTCAGACCATCTCTGAACGGCACTGACTGCCAAATCATACTGCAGACAAAGTGGGTAATCTCTCTTATTGGCCCTCTGTTGGTGAGAGACAAGCTTTCGAGCTACACAGAGCTCTTCTTCAGGTCAGACCCTGACTTTAAATAGCTGTGTGGATCCCAGAGGCTCCGAGCACTCAGCTTGGGCCAATACATTGTGGGCATCTCCACACTGGAGCCAGGGAGTAGCATGCCTAAGGCCTAATACTAAACCTTTTAAGATCAGTGGGTGTCTTTCAATGGACTTCAGTGGATTAGGCCCTTAAAAAAATAAGTTGTCTAACTTTTTCTGCATATGTACGTTTTCCCTAGAATTCTTCAGGTTAGTACTTACGCTGTTGAGGAAGCTGGAAATGGGGCCTTGTCCATTATTGTTTGTTACTATCCTCTTTGATTTTTTTTTTAAACTGGGGAATTTCAATATTCCTTTCAATTAACTCTGTTGGAGTATATTTCCTAAGATCATAGTCCCAACCTGATTGCACAACCGCAGTAACTTTTATGGCTGAGTGGGAACACTTTACTGATTTTGCTGTTGTGAAAAGCCAATATTTGGTTTAAAGATCCCTTTGGATTTTTAATTCACTTTGCCAGAATGTTTAGATGCTTTGCCTGCTTCCATACCTGCCTTTAATTGCTTATTCAGTTGGTCTAATGCATATTGCAAAGAATGACTGTTCTCTAGGATGTGTGTCTTGGTCAAGCTAAGCCTGAAACACATCAGATTGGGAGCTCCTAAGGAGTGAGGTTTACTGTGTGTATCTTAATGGGGCTTTGGCTTTGGCTTATTCATCGTATTCCCTCTTCATGGTATCGTAGCTGTATGTGAAAACAATATAGAAGCCAATATCCATCTGTCCATCCTCTGGGTACTATAATAAAAGTTCCCCTTCCGCAATTACCCATCTATACTTTAGGAATCTGCCAGTAAAAATAAAAAGGAATTTGCTATTTAAATATTATGCAGTATCTACACATTCAAAATATTTTTTGTGGTGCCATTCATGCCATTACAAATAAGTCTGTATTATTGTTCCTGTTATAAGTCCCTTCAGGGACTTATAACTTGGCTGTAAAAATCCACTCAGGCCTAAAAATTGCCAGATAAGGTCTCAGCCTAGGAGGTATTTGTTTATTTTGACAAGTTATTTAAAATAGGGACTGAAAATAAAATTTGAAATTAGTGGTTTCAGATTCCTGTTTTGTGATTTCATATTTATAAAGGGCTTAAATTACATATTGCAGGCTCATGGTCTACATAACATGGGCTTATGTCTGTGGAGATGGGGTGGGTGGGGAGAGAAGAATTACAAAGTGCCAAACCCTGCAGTCCCTTCTAAGACAAAACTCTCATTCACCTGTGGGCCAAGGACAAGTGTGAGACATTTCAATTTGTTTTTCAAAGTGCTGAGCACCTAGCAGCCTGGCTCTTGGTTTGAACATTTTGGCTTAGGTGACTTGCCCAAAACCACACAGGAAATCAGCCACAGTTCCAGGAATAGAGCAAACATCATGTGCTTTAATGGCAAGAGGTTGTGTCTTATTTGCGAGCTGTCACTCCCACAGTGAAAATCAACCAGGGATCTCTGAATCAAAAAGTCATACAGGCAGGGCCGGCTCTAGGTTTTTTGCCGCCCCAAGCAAAAAAAATTTTGGCTGCCCCCCGTGCCAGCCCTGGGCTCCTTGCCGCACCCCCCTGCCACCTCAGCCCTGGGCTCTCCCCCACCACCCGCACCCCCCTGCCGCCTCAGCCCTGGGCTCTCCCCTATCCCCCCCCACCATTGCCCCCACACACATACATCCTGCCGCCCCAGCCCTAGGCTCTCCCCCGCCAACCACCACCTGCACCCTCCTTCCGCTGCAGCCCTGGGTCACTGGTAACTCGCTCCCAGGGCAGGTCATTCAGCAGGAATTTTAGGTGTGCACAGAACACAGACAGGATTGGTTCCCATATGGTTACAGAACTGCAGTAAAGTGGAACACTTTTCAGCTTGTGTGATTGGAGGTTATCTGGATGCATATTATAAGACTGTCCTACATAAATGAGGAAAAGTTGAGGTGCCTTTATTATTCTTTTGTTCCACTCTTTCTTTCTATGGGGAATTTGCCAATGCAAAATCACTGTCTTCCTTTTAAACAAACAAACAAAAAAAGGCAATGGCTGTTGAAAATAGCAATTCCAGTCCTAATAACCACTGGGAAGCATTTCTTGCTCAATTTTATCCTACTTTTTCTATAGCAAGTTACAGTGGATCAGTATATTTGATTTGGGAGAAATGAAGTAACAGCTGCCCAAACTGAGCTTGAGCACTCCTGAATTTTGCAGTGTTCAAATCTGGGGGGGAGGGGTTGTGGCTAGGGTGACCAGATCACCCAAGTCAAATATCGGGACGTGGGGGTGGGGGTGGGGGGTGACGGCGGGGGGGGCGTGGC